GCACAATTTGAATGGCCCATGGGCCGAGATACAGCAAAAGAAAACTTGTAATCAAACCAAAAACAGAAAGAAGGAAAAAACCGAGCTTAAGACTGTGGGAAATGAGGCAATTGCTGAGCTGTTGGCCATTTGGAAACGCGCTCCAGATTTGTCCATAACACGGCCTGACCGCTGGGGTTCTTGCGTGGGTGGCACTTCTGGCGGGGACGCAGCTGTGCGTTGAGAGATTTTCCTCTTTGCTGGAATGCGGCGCCATTTGCCATGAGAATTGCGGCAGTTCACACAGTCAACGGCGGGTCGCACTTTGATTGACGTCTTGGCTAAATTATGTAAATTATAGCAAGATATCCAGAGAGCGAATCAGAGAGAGAGAGAGAGCGAGAGAGAGAGAGAGAGAGACAGAGAGACAGGGAATAGCACGCTTCGTTTTGTTGATCTATGAGCCTCGATTACGAGGCGGCAAATAAAAACAAAAAGAAATTCCTCAACGTAGCTAAAAGCTGCACAAATAAAGCGCAGCTAAACTGTTGCAGTTGCTGATGCAGTTGCAGTTGCAGTTGCTGTAGATGCCAAGTGCGGCAGCTGCTGCTGGCAAACCTGCCGCCAGCAGTCTAGCTCCTTTGCAAATGATGATGAGGCACACAGTCTTAGCAGCAGCAACAAGAATTACAAAGCCAAGACATCCATGGGCCATGACAAAAGACAAGTTGTCGTTCTTCCCAAAATTAGAGGCATTTACATGCCGGCTAGCGAGAGACAGAGACAAAGACAAAGAGAGAGAGAGAGGGAGAGAGAGAGAAGCACATAATCTGAGCAAGAGTGGGACAACATTTATGGACTCTGTGTAAACATTTTGAGCGAACGTTTTAGACGCATCAATGCAGCTGGCTAAGATCTGTATTGGCAGACTTAAGACTCCAACTGCGACTGCGTCTGTGGACGGAACTATGCAAATATTTTTGAAGCAATTTTCAGCTTAAATACCTTCAAAACGAGGCGTGTCATATTAGCCAACTGCTCGCTTCTATTTGGTTTGGTGCACACTTGTTAACTCTTTTGCCCATAAGCCAATAATAAGACAATACGAGGAGGAAGCCTCAGGCTCAGGCTAAGGCTGGTTGAATTATGCAAAACAGGCATTCAAAGTTTAACTTCAAAGCTAACCTTTCATTCGAAGGCTTTTATTCCAGTGATTAAGCAGTGATTAAAGATTAATGATAATTATATTGTTATTTTAAGCGAATTGATCGGATGTGTGATTTTTAGTTTTGGAAGAAATAGTTTCATCTGTTTTACTATAAACTCAATGGAGCTAAATAGCAACTGGAGGCAAATATGTAAAACTTTTAACTATAGGCTTGAGATAGATATTACAGTAAACTCTAACTTGTTGCTGCCATGAAACGCATAAAATATTATTTATATAAAATAAAAGAATGTCCAAACAAATCAAACTAAACATTTAGCTCATATCATTCTCCTATCAGAAAACAGCACACCACCTTTGTAATTTTCACTTCAAAGTTCGTTCTCTCTCTTTCCCATCTCCTCTCTCTCTGTTTTTGATTTTCCACTTTGGGGGATTTCCATCTAATTAGCAAGCTAAAAAAAAAAAAAAACACGTGATGACTCTCGCTGTCGGTTCATCGAGATCAATTCAGCAACTCATTGCATGCGAAATGAATGACCGAGCAGATGACGAGCTCAGAGTGCTCATTTCTACATATGTATGTATGTACACATACATACGTACACACATACGCAGGTCGAGCGAGAGTTTCGCTTGTCCCTGAAATTGTGCAGCAACCCCGTTGGCTTGTTTCCGTTATGGCATATCAATTGATTGAATGTAAAAATTCTACTATTTATTAACAAGTCAAATTTTGAAGAGCAGAAGAAGGCATAAAGTCAAGGGCCAAATAATCACATTTTATTTGACTGCCACAGTTTGAGAGCAATTGCTTGCATTTATGTACATGCTAGGGGTTTGTGACATTGCTGTACCAGTACAGCAAAGACTCCCACCTAGTGTGCTACGGCAGCGATGTTTTCTGTGTCCGTGTCTTTGCTATTAGTTGGTTGTGTTCTTGGGTAGATGGTCTATGTTGATGGCTTCTTGTCGCCTTTATCTGTTTCACATTTTGACTTATCGTCAGATTTTTTGTCTGCTTCCTTTGCGTTTTCCTTTTTATCCGAGTCTTTTTTGCTCGCATTCTTCCTGGCCTTCTCCACAGCTGCTTTGACCATTTCTTGGCAGTCGAATGACTTACACGAATTGTTGTCCAGCTTATTTTCACAATCGGATAACACAATACTGATTTCCTTATCAATTGATTTTGCCACTTTCTCCTTCTGGCGCCGCAATTCACACATTTGTTCCAGCTTCTTCTCTTTAGCCTTTTTGCTAGCCACTTTCTTCTCTTTCGCCTGAGTGGCAAGCTGTTCCTCACATTTCTTCTCCTGTTCCTTCATTGACTCTAAATTGTCGTCCCGTTTTTCGTCATCCACATCCTCCTCTGTTGGCACTGGGGCGCCGCCACATGCGCGACGCTCGTCTCGCAAGCCCACCGACTGATTCTGCAGCTCCACAAAGCTGAAGCGATGGTAGCCGAAGTAATGCCCGTTTTTGTACTTCTTATTGAGGCCCGCTCCAGGGCCAAGAGGTTCGTCAGGTCCACAAAATTGCCGGTAGGCCTTCGGCTTTATGAACTCGGGCACTTCAATCCCATCATGTGCAACACATTGCGGCTCGTAGCCCTCATCAGGCGGATCTTTTGGTGGGCGCGGTGTATTTGAGGGTTTGTTGCTTTGTTTGCGCATTTGATTGAGTTCATTCCTCGAAGACCTGCGGCATAGAAAACGTAATGAATGTGGTGCTATCAAAAACCTGAACATCTTCTCGTTTAGAAAACCAAGTATTTCCTTTACGAATTGGAATATATATGAATAAGTATATAGAAATATTGAGCAACGTTACCTTTGATTAGAATTTTCTAATGTCTATACAAAATTTGGTCTCAATTATTTTCTTTCTCACTTCACACCTCTCTCAATAAAAATAAAATAGAATGAGTAAAATGTTTGAATAAAAACAATTTGAAAGCAATATAAACATCATTAGAGTTTGTAAGCATCATTTGCATTTGTTTTTTATTAGTATTCAGACATTTTTTGAACGAAAATGAAGTTTTAAGTATACACGCACTTAACAAGTTTGAATTTTTTTTAAGGGTGAGTGACTTTGCTAACTTTTGCCAGCTCGATCTATGTACAGCAACCATTTTGGTTGAGTGTCTTTGGTAAAGTATTACAGCTGGGTGAGTTTATTGTTGGTTCGGAAAGCAGCTGGCTGTAATATTCCAATAGATGGAGCAATCGAGGATAGACCTACAGTAATATGAATTACTTGTATATTAAAAGGTCACTTAATATAAATTTTTATTTGAGTTAAATTTAAAACCAAAAAGAAGCTGTGAAAGTTAGGCTGCCGTGAGTATATTTTATAAATATTGTACAATTAAATATACGTTTTTGGGCTATAGATTTCCAGATCGGAATTAAACTATTAAAATTATTAATAAATTAATCAAATTTTTGGTGGAGCTTAAGTTCTTAGGTACTTGAATACTTGGGTACTGATGCATTCAGACGTAATTGGAAGATAAACCGCTGACCCGAAACAACGCGAGCAGGTCAACAGTCGCCCACCAAAAGTCGAGGAAAAGACAAAGTCAAGAGTAGTCCTAACAGTTCGCTTTGGCTTTACAATCTGTTGGCCCTTGTGTGCTGTGTGTGTGCGTTGTGCGTGTGTGAGTAATTCACGTGAATGTGACACTGACACTTGCAGCTAACTGAAAAAAATCGTTTCGTACAGTTTTCCATGAGCTGCCAGCCAATTGTAAGCATGCAACGCAGGGGGAGCTTCCCACACGCGGCTGCAGTTCGTTCCCTGATGAACTTTTAAGTGATTCTTATCAAGCGGACTTCTGGCCGACAGCTGGCAGCCCAACAGCCCAACAGCCCGACAGTCCAGCTGCCTCTAGCAATGTTAGCCAAAGATCGGCTGCCTTTAAGCGACTATACGGATAGTTAAGCTAAAGTTTTAAAAATATCTCCTTACCTTGCAACCTTTATGTGGCTTACCAAGCACGTATCAAGCTAACGCAATCTCTCAACTTTTGTGTTCTGCTGAAACTTTAAACTATTTGACTACAGTAAAAACGAAAAAAAAAAAAAACTAAA